AAATAATTTTTTTAACAATGTGTCTTTGTGAGCACAGATTATAGCTAAGTATAGTTTTAAATTATAAATTCCAATGAAGAGGCCATAGACTATGAAAAAGAAGAATAGTTTTGTTTCCATTATTTGATCCAACGACCTTGATAAAACTATAGTCTGTATTTACCTGATTATAGAAATCAAAACAAATGATAACAGAACTACGAATAACTTCAAGGTGAGCGAACGTTCACATTATTGTAACTCTTATTTAAGTTACCGTAAAAGATGAAATTTCTTATTATCCCCAATTTTCTACTTAGATTAAGAATTTATATTAAATATCACAATATAGTACAGCAATAGCTACTTTTATTATTTGTATTTTACACATTTTAAGTGAGCCGGCTCGACCGGAATGATACAACGGCCTCACAGAAAACCGACGTGAAACAACGTTAACGTTGGTTCGTCATGTAAGTGAAGTTACCGGAGGCCCAATTAACCCCACCTTCCTCAATCTCCTCAATCGTTAAATTCCCAACAATCCTCTTATAGTTAATCCCCAAAAGGCCCGTAACGCACTTGTAACGCCTCTGGTGTTCCAAGTGTTCATGGGTGACGCCGATTGCTTAGGATATTTCGATAGGGGCAAGTCGATTGTTCAGAGACCTTTTTTTATTTTTGAGAGGTGAAAATCATCCAATGACTTCTCCCGCCTTGGATAGGCGAGAGGGAGTGTCAGACTCTTACTGACTAAAAACCACCCCGTTCCTACTGCTCATCGAGCCGGAGCCCCGGCAACCCATTAGTCCTTCCGCGGCTCCGTATCGGGCATCAGCCCTGCTGGGCCGCATATGTGAGTATTACACTGGGCCTTATTTCGAACTTCGTATGAACTTAATCAATCGAAAATCACAAAGTATTGACTAATTAACCTGAGAAGTCATGCTTCGAACTTGCCCTTTTAACACTAATGACGCAGACAAACCATCTTTGAAGTGTTTGGAGTCAGAGGGCTTAGTACGAGTTAGTTTTACGTTAAAAGTAATCGAAACGAGACCGCGTTCGGCGCTTTGATTGGTTGGTTCATTGGCGCCGGCCAATCACAGCGCCTATAAACGTAAATTAAACTCGTACTAAGGCCTCAGAAGTCTTTGAAGGTGAAACTCGAACGTAATAATAGAAAAATTAAAATTTACCAATATAAAGAAGTTTACTGTAACTCTCATTTTAATTACGATTTTATTAAAACTCTTTTTCGATTTGTATTTTAAGTTCGAGGACAGACGCTCGATGCAATAATAAAATTACAGTTATTACGAAATGCAATTGTTTTTATTTGCTTCAATAAGTAGAATAAAGACTGCAGCAAGATCGAAGATCGAAGGATTCAAGGAAATAGTATTCCAATCAACAGCCACTTAGCTAACTTCTGAACTATGAGCATGTTTCTACTATAGTTTGGTATAATAAGCATCAAAAGTGGATGAACAAAATCACTGTACATACGGCTACACGTCGAACTTTACATAACCAGTATAAACTGAACGTTAAATGTGCGGAAAGATGATGCGACGCGATACCAGGATAAATTGGTTTGGTTTTGTATAGATTGATGTGTGGCCACCGCATTATAGCCAAATCGGCGAACATGACAAGCACCTTAACTGATCCCTAAGCAGTCACTGGTGACCGCTCTCCACTAACTCCATTATAGACCTTATTTCCGATGTTTAGAGACTACTTTTGTACGAAGAAATGTTGTAGATTTTTCATAATCGGACATTTACGAGTTTAATGCAACACATAATAATTATTTATTTCCGGCTCTTGTGAAGTTGATCGATTTAAGTAATACGGTGTACAGCGATTTTGAAAATCTAAATGTGTTCATCAACTTTAAATGCTGACCGTACCTATAGGTTTTAAACTAACCATGTTATTTTTTTTTAGAGAATACAGAAGACGAAAAACTGCAACCATTGAAAATGTCACAAAAGGATGTCCTACAGTTCTTCTCAGGATGAGAAGTCATAAAACATCTAGAAAACTGTTTGCATTTCCTTATTCTTGCGGAAGATTACAGTTTAACATCACGCTACAACACTTATGTCATATAATTACGACAGTAAACATCTAAGGAAGTAATTCTCACATAAACTAACAAGCAAAAATCAACCTTAACACTTCAAGAGCTGCAAGTGATTTTCAACCTTAAGATGCAATAGTTAAACGGTCGATTATACAATCCCTTGTGTGCAACTAGTAGGATGCAAGTCGTGTGACTGCAAGTGAGGAGTAACATCTAATAACAGACATCCCGCTGTAAATCTGTCTGTAGGTACATCTAACATCCTTTAGTCGTGCAAGGTCTTGGCCTGATGAGATTATAGGCCAGTTACATACACGGAACTAAAAAAGGACAATGCCAGGTGCTCAGTACATCTTTGACCCACTATATTAGAAGTCATGTTCAAGTATGTAGTATTCAGCATCGTATAGTGTATTAATTACCGATACCTAAACATTTGTCCTGAAACCTGTAAAACTTGCGGTTTTTGTTTAGAACACAAAACAATAATGATAAATAACGCGAAAACAACGGAAACGCACAGAGCGAATGAAAGATAATATTGACACTGACAGCTGACAACTGACAAGCGCTTCAAAACGTTTCGTTACACAAAAAAATCATAACTAATGATAGTAATCGTTTCTTTTATATTTATTTTCGTGATTTCATCTGTAATTATTAATAAATAAATAAATGTTATACATAATTATACTTTTGATATAATATTTTATGTATAATGATATCTTTTTTACAGTTATGTACTTTTTTATTTTCATAGTTTCGTACAAGCGATGCGTATGATGTAACGCAAGTAGTCATTAGACAATATGGAAGACGCATTGCAAAAAAGTATTTCCGAGATTGAACTTTTTTTTTATTAGATTGCAAACCGCAAGTTTAAAAATAAAAAGATTTATTTTGAGGTTCCTTATTCGTCAAAATTATTTTCATCAATTTACTTTTTTTGTAAATGATATTATGACTGGGCCAGGATCTGGCATTGTCATCCGTGTATTATTAAAATATAATAAATAAAATATCTGTACTATAATTACGTATTTTCCACCTAAAACTTTATTAAGACATCAATATAAGCCTAGTATCACTATTTATGAAAACTAAAATTATAACTAAACTAAAATTATTACTAAAAAGTATGTACTGGTTTTAAATATAAATAAATAATAAAATACAACTAAAATACTGTCGATTTACAGATTAAATATTAAAATATCACATTTCAAAGGAATATTATTAGTTCCAACAGATTTAAAAAAATAAAAGTTTACTTTTTAGCTATTAGGTACATCTAATTTGTTATTTTACCCTGAAAATATATGTCACAAGACATAAACACATACTTTACTTATAATAATAATAAATAAATGATTTAATTACAAATGATTACACTGCTTTAAAACAAAACTGAAATGTTCGCACCACTAGAGGCGCTAGTGTGATATAAAGTTATCATTTAATTGTTCGTTCAATTATTAACTTTTATCTTCATCATAACATCACGCCTTTTTATCCCCGAAGGGGTAGGCAGAGGTGCACATTATGCCACTGTACAATGTAACACTCACTTTTCACTATTTATGTTATGAGTCCCATGTAATAGGGGGTGAGTCTATTGCCATATACCGGGCACAATTCCAGACTCCGTGCTACTACTGGAGAATTTTGTAAAAACTCAGTAATACTTTGCCCGACCCGGGAATCGAACCCGAGACCCCTTGCCCGGCAATCGCACTTGCGACCACTCGGCCAACGAGGCAGCGTTTTATAATATATTAACTTTTAATTAAATTTTAATCAAGTTTGATACTACTATCTTCTATATATCACAATTTTCAGTTTTCTGGTCATGAAATCTTATTAAGAATTAATTTTAAACATACTAGGATTTCCTCCAAAGGCATACATTTTTCGTTTTGTTCTCTTTTTAGAAGACCTGTACTTTTTTAGTTTAAAATTCAGTGTATTAAAATCTTGTTAAAATATTAATAAATATCAAACTATATATTGTACTTTAGTCAACATAAGTTATTACTACAGTTAGTTAAACCAATATCTACTTGACTACACCTAATTAAGGTAAAAAATGGAATGATCTTACTTTTAGCGGGCCTCACGACGCACTGGATAACATTTTGTTACAATAATTTATTGTATAATTGTAAATGATATCTGAAACAAAAGGAAAGATAACATTAGTTAATTATTTGATAAACTTTCTAAGGTTTTAGCTTTAATCACTGGGTTTTGGCATAAGCCGGTAATCGAGCAGACGGATCACATGCCGGTCCTCAAACACTAAGGCGTTACAAGTGCGTTACCAGCCATTTGGGAATTGGTAATAAGAGGATCGTTAAGGATTTGGGGATTGGGGAGACTGGGGAGGGGGTAATTGGGTCTCCGGTAACGTCACTCAAACGAAACACAACGCAAGCGTTATTTCACGTTGGTTTTCTGTGACACCGTGGTATCACTCCGGTCGAGCAGGCCCGGCTACGGAATTGTCATATGACTATCATGATCATCGTCTCTTTATTTTATTTTTCAGGGACCTAAAACATTATAGGGTTTTCTGCTGATCACTCTAGCAGAAAAACAATTATAACATAATATAACATCACGCCTTTTAGCCCCGAAGGGGTAGGCAGAGGTGCAAATTACGGCACTTAATGCCACTGTACAATGTAACACCAACTTTTCACTATTTATATTATGCGTCCCATGTAATAGAGGGTGAGCCTACTGCACCATTCCAAACTCCGTGCTACTACTGAGATTTTTTTTTAAAACCCAGTAATACTTTGCCCGACTCGGGAATCGAACCCGAGACCCCTTGCCCGGCAGTCGCACTTGCGACCACTCGGCCGACGAGGCAGTCTATAGTAAAAACAATCATAATTAAACAAAAAATCCTCGATACCAACCTCACCCAAGAGTTCCAGCAGCCAAAGAGGCCAAAACAACTAGAATGGCCGTGGCGACTCCACTGGCACCGACGTGGGCGCCGTACACCGCGCCCGAGTCCACCGCCGCGCCGGTCCCGAACGCGTCCGCTGAAGTAATCGTGTCTGTCAAATGGCCAACCGGTGAGCTTAGCGCACCAGGAGGCTCATCTAGTAGTTGCATGGGTTTTGTGTCTTTGTTTTAAATAGTTTTGAGGTTATGTTTGTGATAGCGAAGGTATTAAGAATTGAGTAGTTTTCAAGATAAAGAGAAGTAGTAGTTACTTTTCATGAAGAAGAGAGAAAGAGTTTAAGCAAGTAGTCTCTTTGTCAAGTAGTTTTTTTATATAGAAAAAAGAGCGTACGATAGTAGTTTTTTTAGAAATAGAAAAGTTCAAGTACTTAAACGTTGTGCATAATATAGGTACTAGAAAATTAAAATTCTAACCAAACAACCAATTACACCAATCTACTTTGATATTTAGATAACCAATTAAAAATCCACCAACTAATGTTATCAATACCTCTACCAAAGCAAATTATTATTATTATTAAAAAATATCTTTAAACCAGTGTTAGAGATAACCAATAAATAATAATAAATAACTAAAAGAAACAAAACCCTTGTATGTACTAGAATCGCCTACCAGTGCATGCAGCAGTGTTTAAACATAAAAAATATTCTCAAAGCAAAATGTTCTTAGCTCAATCGCCGTAGCCCGTAAGTATACAAAATACCATTAGAATATATTTTATATCGAGTTTCATCTAGGATCTTCTCCTGTGTCGTGGGTGCGTTTACAAACATACAAGTTCACATAAACATGACACCCAGACCCGGAACAACAATATGTAGATCACACAAAGTGTTGCTCCGTGCGGGAATTGACCCGCTACACGTCACGTGACAGCCAGTTGCCGGGCTGGGCACCAACAATGCTGTCAAGTGACAATTGTCAGTGTAGGTGTATTATTTCTTGAATCATTGCAACTTAAACTGTCAAACACCAAGCGGTCACCGGTGACCGCAACCTATTGTTCTATATTTGTGTCTACAAAACCGGTACTCGACGAGTTAAAATTGGTAAAATTTAACAAAAATACAGAAAGTTTATAAAAATACGGATGAGCTAAGAACAGTATGCTACGAAAATAACAAAATACAATCATCAGTTCTGTGCTTTAAGCTACTAAGTACTATATACAAATTTAAAGCCATTCTACAGAAATACTTTTATCAACTAGCTGTAAATTAAGGCAATAAATAGATTATTATTTATTGAAAAATTAATTACTTTTACAATTCATTTACGCTTAAAAAACCAGCTACTTATACATAAAAATATGACATCCAAATCTAAACAAATCGATGTCCAATAAAAATAAATCTTGTAATAATTACGTAAAATCAAGAAATAAAATCCAAAATAATAAAACTGCAGAATAAAACTGAATGAATGCAAAAATAATGACATAAAGATGTTTACAATCGCAATACCCGAATACCACCAACAACACACATAAATAGATAAATACAATACATGTGTTTACAATACAATACAATACAATACAATACGAACACAACACACAATAGAATGAACGACGTACCTATGTCACCAACTTCCACGGTGAATGAATGAATGATGAACAAAAAAATATAAGATTAATTAAGCGGCAACACAACATGACGTCATGATGTTAAAAATGAATGATTTTGTGAAGGTTCCATTCACTCTTCTAGTTCATTCATATCATTCGTTCATTTGTTTTTATCTCTCTCTTGCACTAGAGTGCAATGATTGAATGATAGGGATGGCGACAATTTTGAGTTAAAGCACAAATGTATTAACGTAGATTTCGATTCTTCTAAAAATATTGCAGGAATCGAACCCAATGTTTCTGTATTTTTCTTTAAAACCTTTATTATATTTTGTGGTAGAGCATTATACACAAATCTTTAAAATGTTCATTCAAAAATATGTACATTCGAAATGACTGACTTTCTATCTCTATTTGCTCAAGCTAAAATGAACCTTCCAACCCAGTACACAAAGCACAATAGCTTACCTCCCCATCGGTTCAGCATGGCCATTATAACGCCATTGGTCCATCCGAAGCCAGTTTGTACGACGTATTCGCCACCCCCGCCGAGACCGCCGAAAATTGTCGCATCATACTGGAAAGTGGATTTTATTGTTAATACAGTAAAGTCGATATTGCAGTAACAGATGTTCTGAGTTTTCAGTCAAAAATAAAGTAAGCTATAAAATAAAAATTTAATTCCAAAGAAAAATTATAAAAAGAACATAACATAACATCACGCCTTTTATTCCCAAAGGGGTAGGCAAAGGTGCATACAGAAGTAACATCCACTTTTTCACTAATTATGTTATGAGTCCCATGTAATAGGGGGTAAGCCTATTGCCATATACCGGGCACAATTCTAGACTCCGTGCTACTACTGAGATTTTTTTTTAGAAACCCAGTAATATTTTGTTCCGGGAATCGAACCCAAGACCCCTTGCCCGGTAGTCGCACTTGCGACCACTCGGCCAACGAAGCAGTCGTATAAAAAGAACACGAAAAAAAAAACAATATTATTATAAGTAAGCTATCAAATGTAAATTTCTTTTATGTATGTATATATGTAAATGTAAAAATAAAAAAAAATAAAAATAAATGTAAAAAAAAATAAATAAAAAAATTGCAAAGGTTTTCTTCAATACTTTATCTAGCACGGTTCATAGTGCTTAACTACATATTTATAAAACAATAACTAGTCTTACAAAAAAATTAAAAAATAGTGTCAACAATAGGTAAACAAAATATTTTTTACTGCACACCCAATTTATATTTGACTGCACGGTTGGCGCTGGTGGCTGGGCAAATGGCTGCCGTGCAACGTGTCGCGGGTTTGATTCCCGCACGGAACAACTCCTTGTGTGATCCATAGATTGTCGTTTCTGGTCTGATTGTCATTGTCATGTCTATGTGAACTTGTATGTTTGTAAACGCACCCACGACACAGGAGAAAATCCTAAAGTTTTTATTAGTTTATATTAGACAGCATTGTTTTTTTTTTAAATTAAAAAAATAAATCACCTTTTCGAGCATAGCAGTCTTCTGCTTCCAAACTTCGAAGTTAGACCGGACCCATTTAGTAGCGATCTCGCTGGCCAGTCGCATGGCTTCGGGCTGGCCTGTGTTGGCGAGGCCCATCACCACTATGTACTGTAGAGGAGGCCAGGCGTTCGGGTAGTCCCATTGTTCTCCGGAATGCTCAAATGTCGTTGGAATGCCTCCGTCGAATATGTCTACCTGGGAATTAAAATAAATAAGTAATTATTGGTAGTTGGCGCTATTTAAAAAATATAAATAAAAATATAAATTGGTTTTGTTTAGTTATTTTGAAATACACAATCAATGTATTATGTAGCTAAAAAATAATAACATAGCTATAATAAGGGCAGGAGAAGATTCTTGAATGTCAATAAAAGAATATTTTTTGATTTATACTAATCAAATCAAATCATTTATTTTCAATTTGCTTGTAAAAATACAAAATTATAGGTAATACCTACAGTGAAGTGACTGATAAGATTAAATAAAAAAAAAGCTTAAAATACAAAATAAAACAAATAAAAAATAAGAAAAAATGCATAAAAGATATAAAAAAGTAAAAACATTATCAAAAACAACAAAAAGAACCGTTTGACCCCGACGTGATTTGAACACGCAACCTTCTGATCTGGAGTCAGACGCGCTACCGTTGCGCCACGGAGTCACATGAACAACGTGTTGAAATTACCGTTCCGTATAAGCGAAGTGACGCAACTGTTTATTATCATAGTAAATTACCAAAGTTACGTTAATTAGTACTTAATTATGAGATTGTATGAAGGAAAATATGGAAATGATTATCTTTCTTATTAGAAAATGAACGTTATACAAAAGACAATAGGACTTAAAATAAGATCGGCAAATGTTTATTTTCTATTATTTTTAGATTTTTTTACTTCTTTGTACCTACTTACTTTAACTTTATCCAAATAATTGACGACTCTGTTGACGTAATAATCCTTCCTCGCCTGGTCGTAGCAGACTGCCCAGAGCGGCGACACGTTGGACGGGTAGAAGTAATCCCGACGCCTGCCAGATTCCAGACTGTAATCCAGCCAGACACCCACGTCTTCATGCCAGAGCACCTGTAAGTAATTAAGGGCCATAAGATAATTTTTATGATAATTTTCTTAGATAAATCTTCGTAGGTTGGTAGATACATGAGTATATGGTTAGGTTATAATGAGTTCAATATTTCAGTTATTAATTTAGACATCTTCCGACGGCGCGAGGAACAAAACCTCTATAAAAAATTCTTCCAATACCAAGTTCTGGTGCGCGGCGAGGGTATGCATGGCTGAGGAGTAGTGTCAGTCGTGAGCGCATCCCCAGCTAGGGGACAAGTGGAACCTCTAGTTGGGAAACAAATTAACACTTACCCAGGTACAGGGGGCACTGCCTGTGTGGCCTAATATTTCCCCCATACTCGTGGGAACTTTATGGAGAAAATTTCGGGCCGTCAAAATTTTATTGATACAGTAACAATGAATCTAGTTTATCATCTGAAAGTGCTACAAGTATAAAGTGTTCCATCATAACCCAGTTTCAAAACTTATGATCATTGATGCTGCTATTTGTAATAGGATTAAATAACATTTCTATGATTTTATATAAAAACTTTCAGCTATTCATATGTTTGGATATTTTTTAAGGGGGTAAATCATCGAATGACTGCTCCCGCCTGGGTGAGGCGGGAGGGAGTGTCAGACTCTTACTGACTAAAAACCACCCCGTTCCTTCTCCTGCACGTCGAGCCGGAGCCCCGGTTACCCGTTAGGTTCTCCGCGACACATGTTTGGGTATATCACATGCATTTTCGAAATGGCTAATTTGGTCTCTATTTTTTTTTACTTGTAAGTTTTTATGCTACTTTTACACCGTGAAATCCATTTCGTTTTCGTCCCGAAGTAAAATAGTTCTGTCTTAAAAAATAAAATGTAAACTAAAGATAACAGGTGAACCATTGCAAAAAGAAAACTTCGAAAGCGCACACGAACTTGTAGTACATTATCAAAACATCACGTCATGTATTTCTCGTCGGGTGGCTCGTGGGAAGCGAAGCCTACAAATTTACGTCTAGTGTTTCATGTGCGTCTTTCCATTAAACATATTTTTGAACTAAAAAGAAAATCACATCTTTATTTGTTGTTTTTACTTTATATATTGAAAATACTCCATAGGGCTAGCTGGACTAAAACCAAATGCCATTTAGCGCTTGTCTACACGTACAACAGAAAACCAAAATATATGGAATTGACGTAAATTGTAACACTTGTCAATGTCATCCCCATACATTTGGTTTTCTACTCTCTTTGTAGACAAGCGCTAAAGTGGCGTTTGGCTAAGGGCACTGATTTCATGGTGTATAAATCGACCTGTCACCAGTAGGGCATTAAGCAGTACGTTTGTCGACGATTTGTTTGAAAACTAAATAATAATTTGAATTTACGATATATATTTATGTGTGTAATATATATGTAATATTTTATGCATATGACTATACATATATACTATTTACTATTATGTAATATATAATATGTATAGCTATATTATTTAATATTTACTTTTTCTCTCTCTCTCTTTGCTGTTAGTTTATTCTCCGTACCTCATTTTTCGCAGATTTTCTACTTAAACTCTAAGGTTGACTGGTAGAGAATGCCATATGGCATTAAGTTCGCCTTATGTGCCATAACAAAATTGTGTACATAAAAGAATAAATAACATACATACATAACTTCACGCCTGTCTCCCATGGGGGTAGGCAGAGACTAGGGAACGCCAATTACTACGATTCTTACATACCTCTTTTACTTCATTAACAGTCATGAATCTTTTCATGCATGCTCGTCGGTTAAGGGTACTTTTAATTTGGCCCTTCTTAAATGTCGAGTAAAATAATATCCATTAAGAATAAATAAATAAATTTACCTGTTCAATGGCATCCATGAATCTGGCGTGCACGTTTCTATAGTATTCTGCCTTGTCGACGTTGCCGAGTCTGGTATGGAAGTCCCGGAGTAGTTGCGCGTTCCAACACATGATGGCGTTCAGGTCCACAGGGATGATGGACCGAGTTTTCAGGTTCGTTAGGTTACCTAGAATATTGTTAAGTATTTGTTAAGTCTTTTGGTGTATTTTGTGTGCTGTGGTAACGGGAGAAAATGGGAGGTAATGATGACTAGGGGGTAGTAAATAAGTTCTTTGAAATATGATCATAATACGGTAGATTTATAAATTTTATTTTAATGTCAGTCTGGTACATTAATTCAAAACATTAGATATGTATTTTTCTTTTCTCGCAAAATTAAATACTTTCGACGAAATATTAAACTTTAAATATCGTGTGACGTCACAACGTGTATCACGTTGTCACGTAACGACCTCCCACTCTAAACCTAAATTCTAAACTCAAACTAAACTTAACGGAAAATTAAAAAAAAATGCGTGTCCTATATTTTTTTTCACTATCTAACTGCGCAGGGATAACTCGATTTTTAATTTTCATATCCTGGTAAGTAGCAAATAACCTCTTTTTTATGTTGTTTATCTATTTAATACTTACGCAATGCTTTAAAAATTAGATTTAAATAAAATAAAAACATTTTTTAACGTTGTCAGGATCAGAGAATAAAAATTACTTGAAAACTATTGGTCGATAAAGGGTCAGTATGTGAAAATGTACCTCTAATAGTTATTTGTAGTTTTTAATTATGTAAACATGCTACATTCCTCGTTTACCTATAGTTTCGTTACAGCTAACACTTGCAATGACTTAACTAATAGGGTACAAAATACCACATTAGAAATGAATGGTTGTTTAATAAAATATGTATATGACTTCTATGACTATAAAATATTCATGACATTAACATAATGCTTATCAAACGGTGGGGGATACTAAATGGGGTGTAACAAAATTATCAGGGGTCTAAAGAGTCACTCAGGGATCACACGTGGGGTCTAGCAAAACATACCACCAACTTGACTATATCCATTAATTGAGAGATCAGTCGTTTGCTGAGGATATTCTGGACAAATGTGGATAAAAAATATATTGGCGACATCTCAATATAATAATGAAAATCCACTCTAAATATAAAATCAAAAGACAGACAACTTAGATTTTCGAAAAGGACTTTTTTTGGTCTAAGCCATGGTTACTAAAGGTCTATTAGAAGACAGGTCTAATGTAGACACTAACTAAGTATTTGTATTGAATATATAATATCGTTGGTATTCCAAAATTAAAAAATATAACGGTGTCTCCCCAAAGGGAACCTACAAGTAAATAAACATTAATTATTTACGTAACTGTTTGATGAGGAATCGACAAGTTCCAAGCCATGCTAGAGGCTCATATTCATGAGCGTGTCCGTGACCCGCGACGCGGCGACTGTCGCGCTGCTACACTTGTCTAGCCGTACCTTCTTGCCTAACCATGGCTTGAAACTAGTCGATTTCCCCGTTAACAGTTAGGTTTTTTTTTTTTTTTTTTTTTGGCATAAGCCGGTAAACGATCAGACGGATCACCTGATGGAAAGCAATCGGCGTCGCCCATGGACACCTGGAACACCAGAGGCGTTACAAGTGCGTTACCGGCTATTTGTGGATTAGGAGTTTGAGGATTGTTGGGGATTCAGGGATTGGGGAGATTGGGGAAGGGGAGGGAAATTGGGCCTCCGGTAACCTCACTCACGCGACGAAACACAATGCAAGCGTTGCTTCACGTCGGTTTTCTGTGAGGCCGTGGTATCACTCCGGTCGAGCCGGCCCATTCGTGCCGAAGCATGGCTCTCCCACACTTATTAGGTACGTAAATAATCCAAAAATATAATAATAAATTTAGTATGAAATTTAATATTCTATCTCATGAAAGTTTTGATATAAATAAGACATGTTGAGTTTAAGTATTGAACGAAATATAGAGTTAATAATACTATGTTTGTCTCTCTCTAACCTTTGTTGGTGCCATTAAGAATGAACCACCTGGATGAGAAGTCCCATCCGGACTCAGCCGCAGCTTTCAACTCGGCATACAATTCTTCCTTCTTGTCATTTGTGTCGAAATGTCTGGAAAAATAATATTAAAATGTTGTTATTATCATGTCTATTCATCATCACTACTAATCGGAAAATACATCGGCTGTTAAACAAATTCCAATATCCAAAGAGACCCATTTTTACTCTTAAAGTCAACAACGCACTTGTAACTTCTTTCGTGTTGTGGGTATTCATGGGTGGAACTGATTGCTAACCAGTTAATCCGTATGCTTTGTCCCCCTTCCTATCCCAAAAAAAGGGGTTTTTGAGGGGCAAAAATCATCCAATCTCCCGCCCGGGTAAGGCGAGAGGGAGTGTCAGACTCTTACTGACTAAAAACCACCCCGTTCCTTCTCCTGCAATTCGAGCCGGAGCTCCGGTAACCCGTTACGTTCCCGGCTCCAATCTCAGCTCCCCATGCTTGACAATAATGGGAGATCAAGGTCACATTTAACAAACGTAGGTAGATGTTTAGACGAGTAATTTTGGGACAGTTTAAGGCGTTTTTTTATTTTGAACTTTAAGCGATTAAATTTAAGGTTAAGTTTAATTACCTGGCGACATCGACGTCTTCCTTGTAACTCTCAGGTCTGGGTCCTTGTGATTGGTCGTAGTATCTTGCTAGGGTGTATCTGAAATGTATAAATTTTGTTATTTTGTCTGTATGAATATATGTGGCACATAACGTAACATAGTATCACGCCTTTTATCCTCGAAGGGGAAGGCAGAGGTGCACGTTACGGCACTTAATGCCACTGTACAATGTAACACCCTCTTTTCACTATTTATGTTATGAGTCCCATGTCATAGGGGGTGAGCCTTTTGCCATATACCGGGCACAATTACAGACTCCGTGCTACTACTGAATTATTATTTTGGCTTAAAAACGCAGTAATACTTTGCATGACCTGGGAATCGAACCCGAGACCCCTTGCCCGGCAGACGCATTTGCGACCACTCGGCCAAGGAGGCAGTCCCTCAGGCGAGGGCACTCGATACACAATATAAAGTATGGGGGTAGGCAGAGACTAGGGAACGCCAATTACTACGATTCCTACATACCTCTTTCGCTTCATCAACAGTCATCAATCTTTTCATGGTTTTCGGTTAAGGGTACTTTTAATTTGGTCCTCCTTTAATAAGTAATTAATAATAATAATAAAATATCACTTTTCTCACCTATGCCCATTATGGTTGACTTCAATGGTGTGGTTGGTCATCCAGTAATCATACTCCCTGTCCAAGGTATGGATGTGTTGTCTGAGGAACTCGATGTCATCCATGTCATCCAGGATTAGTTTAACCATGGGAATTAGGAGGGGAGGCTGTGATCTGGAAAGAGAAAAAACGTATTGTATTTGTATCACATTATTTTATAGTGTTAAGTCATATTATAACGTTTTTAATTCCCGAAGGAGTAGGATAGAAACTAAAAAAAACGAAACAAGATTTTGTCCGACCGGGAATCGAACCCGAAATCTTTTGATTGTTGAATTTTCCCAAGTTGTCCCATCAAATATAAAAAAGCCATTTTAATGTATAAAGGTTTACCTTATTGTAGGGCACAGAACGTACTAAACAACACATTTTAGGGCACACAAAGTATTAAGCATACATTTTAAAGGATAAAACGTATTAAACAATAAATATTGGATATTTGTATGGTGCAGCACTAAAACCATACCTCATAGCGTAATATATTCTGCCTCCATTAGGTATGAAGCCGATCCTTTCGACAATGTCCATGAAGTTGGAGACCATACCCTTAGCAGTGGACCTCATCTCAGACAGTAGAAGACCCTTGATGATCCAGTACGAGTCCCAGTAGTAGAACTCACGGAAACGACCACCTGAAACATGGAATTATTTTGAGTTAATTTCTTTTTGTGGCGATAAGCCGGTAAACGAGCAGACGGATCACCTGAATGGTAAGCAATCGGCGTCGCCCATGGACAAAGGGACACCAGAGGCGTTACAAGTGCGTTATCGGCCTTTTAAGGATTAGAGATTTGAGGATTGTTGGATATTCAGGGATTGGGGAGTAGGGGAGGATAATTGGACCTCTGGTAACCTCACTCACACGACGAATCAAGCGTTATATATTTTTTAACAAATTAATTAACCAAACGGGTTGCCGGAGCTCCGGCTCGAAGTGCAGGAATAGGAACGGGGTGGTTTTTAGTCAGTAAGAGTCTGCCGTCACTCCTTCCCGCCTCACCCGGGCAGGAGAAGAAAATCGATGATTTTGTCCCTTAAAACAGAAACCTCCCTTTCACCCTATCTATATAAAGCCTTTTGCAGCATATCCTTGTCATTGATGCCCTGTTAATATTGTAAACATATTAATTATGTCTTGTAATTTCTTCGAACAAATCTCGGCTTTCAATACACCAGACAGGCACTTACCAGGCACAATAACAGGGTTGTCCACGTATATGATGGAGTACAGATCCTGGTTGGCCTTAACATCAGGCTTCATCTTCCTGCCCAATTGCAGCCACAAGCGGTTCAGGTCGGCAGCCCATTCGTGCAGCAGTGGATCCTTGATGTTTTGTAGGAACGCTGTAAATGATTTGAAAGTGTATATTACTCGGTACTTGTGTTAATATAATTATTAAATATATGTTCAAGGGCCGCACAATGAGAGTGATTATTGTAGGTTTTGTTTGTTGTTAGCTAGGTACGGGATCAAAATTCTACGTTCGCGAGACTGACTGATAAGTGTGAGATTTTTAAAAATAAGATATGTTCGCCAAAGATGGCCTGCTTTCTGAGACGGGCCACTTAAAAAATATGCAGTTGTGATTACTCTTTTCGATATCTTGATTGTCAAATAAATACCATACAACCTCCAATATGTTTCTTCTCTACTTTATTTATCTACAAGATTATACAAGGTTTGAAATAAGGTGGGCCTTATTAGGCGACTGTACCTTAGTGTTGCTATAGTGTACCACCAGTTCATCTAAGTATTATTAAGACTTTTTTTATAAAGATCTTTTCAGCACTCACCCAATACTTTTTCCAGAAACTTATAAGTCATATTGGCGCAACTGTCATACAAATATCAGTAACCAAGGACTCAAAAAACCACCATTGACTTTATAATAATATTCAGAATACAACTGTACAAATAATACGCAGAATATGCGGACAGACAAGACAAACATCATTAAGCGATTATACATGTATGTATAACAAATACAATATTTAATATGATGTATTTGCTTCGCAATTTATATTATAACTAGCTACTTCCGCGTGGTTTCACATGCTCTGCTCAGCTCTTATTAGTCGAAGGTTTGAGCATTAACCACGTTTGCTCATTCCAGGTTTCCTTCGCTGTTTGTCAGTGATGTCTAAATAATCTTAGAAAGTACATATAACTCGGAAATCATGTTCTCTTCAAAAAGTCTAATGAATGAGCTTACCAGGGTTATCCTTCCAGTCAGTAGGTCTCCAGTCCTCGAACTCAGATCCTTCGGGATCAAAGTTCTGGTTGACGAACTCCTGAATGTCAGCTTTGGTCGGATGTGAACCTGTCCTGAAGGAATATTCCGATTATACTCTATGCACATAAATACGGACAAAAATTATGAACTTAAGATTTCAGCATGTCTGCTTTTTCCGGTTGGCCTGGCATAACATAACATAACATCACGCCTTTTTATCCCCGAAGGGGTAGGCAGAGGTGCACATTATGGCACTTAATGCCACTGTACAATGTAACACCCACTTTTCACTATTTATGTTATAATGTGTATAGGGGTAATGTAATAGGGGGTGAGCCTATTGCCATATACCGGGCACATTTCCAGACTCCGTGGTACTACTGAGAATTTTTTTAAAAACCCAGTAATACTTTGCCCGACCCGGGAATCGAACCCGAGACCCCTTGCCCGGCAGTCGCACTTGTGACCACTCGGCCAAAGTGGCAGTTTGGCCTGGCAGTGCAAAGATAAGGCATAATACTTTTGACTAAGTTCTCAAACTGACCAGTCTATTCACTACATAATATAAAACAAATTCACTATCCGCCGTCTGTCTGTCCCGATGTACATATGCTTAGATCTTTAAAACTACGCAACGGATTTTGATGCGGTTTTTTTAATAGATAGAGTGATTCTTAAGGGAGGTTGATGTGTATAATACAAGCATATTGCACTCGTGCGAAGCCGGGGCGGTTCGCTAGCCTCTTGTATGTTGAAATTTGCGGGTATAATGTGTTTTATACCGGGAGCCGGTGTTTCAATAGATAAAAGGTTAGTCTCTAAAATATAGTAAGCTATACTTTATGTGATCCTGGGGAACGAACCCGATACCTCCTCTTCGATCGCATTTTTTATGGGTTGGCTGACAAACGTGTACACAGATGTCCTAATAGCATGGTTTTTCAACGTGAAGGTTGCGACTCCCAGGGGGGTATTCATACTAAAAGGGCCGTGGTACGAATAACTTTAAAAAGCCTGCCTTATAATAAGATATTACTACGGCTCATGGATAGAAAGATAACCACAATGCATTAGTGAGTATATAAGTGTAAGCAAGTGTATACCTGGCCATCATTTCGTGGAAGTGGTCCATGGTGATATCGGCAGACAGCTTCAGCTTCATGTCAACGAAGGTCTTGGAGTCATTGTACAGCCCTGCCATCTGCACCGTGTCCAGCAGCGGGCCATGACAGTAGATATTGCTGGAAATATGGAGATCAAGCATTAGGAGTTTAAATCATAAATGAGTGGTCCTTTAACCGGGCGAACGTAGATCTAAGCGAGACACAATGTGTTTTCTATTGTGTCTTATATACCAGCAGTCAAGAGGTTAAGGGTCTTGCTTTTTCTGTTCTAGGGACGTCTTATTTTAAAATAAGGGCGATTAATGTGTAAGGCCAGCTACCATCGCAAAGTTTTCATCCGCTGCTCGGCTCCTCTTGGTCATAGCGTGATGCTCTATAGCCCATAGCCTTCTTCGATAAATGTACTACGCAATATAAAAAAAAAATATTCAAATCGGACCAGTACTTCCAGATATTAGCGCGTTCAAACAAACATACATACATACAAACAAACAAACGAACGACCAAACTCAGAAACATGTACCAATTCTTATTAATATTGCCACCAAATTAAATAATAATTAGACCATATTTTGTAAGCAATAAGACTCGTCGTCAGTCCTGCAATCTATTGCCATCCACTGCTCGATATCGAGGTCTAGAATAGCATACCTGTAGGCTTTGTCTTCAACTCTTTGTATCGAGGTCTTTTTTATAGGAGTGAGGCGGGAGGGAGTGTCAGACTCTTACTGACTAAAAACCACCCCGTTCCTTCTCCTGCACGTCAAGCCGGAGCCCCGGTTACCCGTTAGGTTCTCCGCGACTCCGAATCGGCATCGGCCCTATTGGGCCCAATCTGTGGTGGTCTGATGGCTCTTTGAGGCGCGCGCGGAACGCGACGCGCCGTACGCTCGGGTCTGTTTCAGAGGCCTTAGTACGAGTTTGTTTTACGTTTCAAGTAATCGTAACGAGTACGCGTTCGGCGCTGTGATTGGTTGCTTCATTGGTGCCGGCCAATAAGGATGCCGAATGCGTATTCGTTTCGAATACTTTAAACGTAAATCGAACTCGTACTAAGGCCTCTGGTCGGACGGGGAGCCAACCATGCTCGCCGTCCGCAGGCCCGCGCTTACGGTGGCCGGAGATCGTCCCGCGTTTTTTATAGGAGTAACTTAATACTTATTGTTTAGTAGTCAAAAGGCATTTGAATTTATTTTATAAAACTCTTTTACATACAACATACGTGCAAAAGATACAATCTTATTATAAGGTCAACGTCCTAACATTTTTTACTATGGGACCACGACTACAAAGCGCAAAAAACTGCTTCTAATGCGCAATAGTTAGGCCGCATATTTCGGACCCAACTTTACATACATACATACCTCTATATATATATATGGGATCCAAGTAAGCGTGAACTGTTTAATATGCAGATTTATTTAAGTAGCATTATGTAACTTGTACTAAAAATCATAAAATATATTAAAGTTAGATTTAACCTTTTATCCCCGAATGGGTAGGCAGAGGTGCACATTACAGCACTTAATGCCGCTGTACAATGTAACACCCACTTTTCACTATTTATATTACGAGTCCCATGTAATAGGGGGTGAGTCTATTGCTATATACTGGGCACAAATCCAGACCCCATGCTACAACTGAGATCTTTTTATAAAACCCAGTAATACTTTGCCGGGCAAGGGGTCTCGGGTTCGATTCCCGGGTCTGGGGAATCGAACACTCCCCTTGCCCGGCAGTCGCACTTGCAATCACTCGGCCAATGAGGCAGATCATATATCAAAGTTATTTAGTAATTTAGTATGGCATTTAGATATTTTTTTTATAATATTATAGATTATTTATTCACGGACTCTAGGTCCGTGCCCTTGTCATACAGTTTTTTTCTTATAATACATCTAGTCAATTTTTATAAAGTAAAGAGGGAACCTAGTTACACACTACAATTAACTACACCTATAATTAGGGGATTTAGATATTTAGATTAGGAATTTGATGATTGTTGACGATAGAATTGTGGACATTGGGGAGAGGGGGATTTGAGCCAACAGATTTCTAAAGATACTACTATCTTTGACTATTTTTATATGTCATGTGACTACTCACACTACATATAAAATGTTACGTTTTATTTGAATTTGCTTCAAATTTATCGTAAAAACCTAGTTATTTGAAACCAGATTGTCAATAGTCATGTGATTATTTGGTATATAACAATACAATAAAAGGATAAACTCAATCTAGAATAGAAAGTACAGGACATTTTAATCTTTATGTCACTGTTATAAGGACCAGAATACTTCAGCCAATTTATCTGTCACGACAGATGTAATGTTAACAACCTGTTATATAAATAAAATGTTATTTTTATCTTTACTATTAGTAGGTACTTTATATTATCCTAAAGTTGTCATTTACAATTTCTTTAATGACTACAGATACACTTTATTTATTTAATTACTAGCTTCTGCCTGTGACCTCGTACGCGGAATCCCGTTTTCTCCCGTTCCCGTAGGATTTTCAGGACTGTTTTCTGTCATAAGAACCTTCTCCTGACAATAATAAACACAACGAAAAAAGAATCAGCCAAATCGGTCTAGCCGTTCTCAAGTTATGGCGTGACAACGGGAAACAGGTTTTAATTTTTATATAATAAACTAGCGGACCCAACAGACGTTGTCCTGCATATCCACTTGAATGTATAAACAAAAATACATTCAAATTAGATCAGCCGTTTAGGATAAATAATTTAAAAACCGACTGCACCGCCATCTGCCGGGCTGATTTGTGAATCTAAACCATTCCCAGATCCCCTTGAACACACACAAAAAATTTCATCAAAATCGGTCCAGTCGTTTGAGAGAAGTTCAGTGACATACACACTCACAGAAGAATTATATAATACTAGCGACCCGCCCCGGCTTCGCACGGGTGCAATATGCATGTATTATACATACAAACCTTCCTTAAGAATCACTCTATCTATTAAAAAAAACCGCATCAAAATCCGTTGCGTAGTTTTAAAGATCTAAGCATACATACGGACATACAGCGAAAGCGACTTTGTTTTATACTATGTATTGATATATAAAGATTTTCTGTAATTACAGAGAAAAATGATTTGACAAACTACCTAACTATGTATATGGGTTGTAAAGCGACAATTTCTCAAAGGAGAGCTGCAGATCGTATGCAAAAACACACCTTAAAACCTGAGCAATAACGCTTAGTGACATTATATCGTTAGTCCACGTGTTTACAGAGCATATATATCATGTAGCCACTTGATACCATCGTGTCCTTTTACAATAAATGGATTGACAATCAGCTGACACTGTGTCAGTTTGTTCTATTTATAGAATAGCTTGGAGAATGAAGACTGACGTCAACGTCTAGCTTGATGATTTTGTTCTAGAGTGTAATAATATATATAAGGGCTGGCTACTACCTTGGGAAAAGGTTACGCATTGCCATTCAACGTGGCAATGCTGCCAGTCTTTTGGGCACCCCACCTCACGATAGCGATGAGGAAATTTTAAATTTTTTTGATGCCTTAAGGTAAGGTGAGGTATTATTTTTTTACGATGTTTAGTTTTTGGTTATTATTATTATTATTATTAAGCAAAATTTAGTTTAATCTTTCTTATTTATTTTTCAAAAACGATATATTGAACTCTAATTCATAATAATACACTTTAATAAAATTTCAGCAACTACGTCGCCGGTTATATTATACCCGACTGTGGTGGTCAAAGGGTTAATCCAGTGGTTTAGCATTCATCGCTTTATTTATTTACTTTTTAACTTGCTGATCTGGCTAACTTTGTTCCGCCTTAAAAACATTTTTCTGCGATTGTGCCCGGTATATGGCAATAGGCTCACCCATCACTCCCTATTACATGGGACTCATAACATAAATAGTGAAAAGTGGGTGTTATATTGTAGGGTGGCATTAAGTGCCGTAGGTAATGTGCACCTCTGCCTACACCATCGGGGATAAATGGCGTGATATTATGTAATGTTGTTATTTTTTTTTAGTGGGAAAAGCCCGCCACATCCTCCCGAAACTATCTACAGTAGATACAACCATGAAAACACCGGAACACTGAAGTCCGGCGCGTCCCAGGGACAAGAATAACTATCTTGGTTCCCGCAACGAAGTGAATCGGAAGATATTACCTCTATAAGAGGAGAAAAAGTAAAACGATATATATAATTATGTAGTGTTGTTATGTTTAAATTCGGGACAGAATATCAAGTTTATAAGCGTTTGTTTACGTTAATTTATCTATCTATACCTACAATCATTTGCATTTCACTTAAGAAGTCAACGAATTGTAAATAAACAAGAACTCAACTGGTTGAACGAGATACCTACATACATAGTTACGACTATTAGATAGTTGAGACAACATAATAATAATGCAAGTATAATTTGAATAACAATTACGTCATGGGCTAAACAAAAACAACAACAAAATAACTTGATTTACATAATTATGTTTAAGTAGTTTCAAGACTTTCAAGTGTAAGAGGTAAAGAGAACTTGGACTGTCCTGACTGACTCCTGACTTGGCTTGAGATTGTAAACATCTTTTTTAAAAAGAGTAACGACTGGAGTTACTTTACGTTACATACTCGAATTTACTTTTAGGAACCAGCACCTAGCTTCACTGACGGACTGACTGACAGATTATTATTTATTTTATATGTGTTGCCGTTTAAAAAGTACCAAATTATTGTTTGAAATAAACGCTTGTTTGAGTTTGGCTCGTTTTCGTTTACATTTTCGGCCTCTTCTCACACGGAGAAGGTTTGAGCATTAACCACCACGCTTGTTAATTGCGGGTTGGTGATTACAAACTTATAATTAAAAATTACCTCTATAAGTCCATGTTTCTTCACAATGTTTTCCTTCACCATTTGTCAGTGGTGTCTAAATAATCTTAGAAAGTATTGGTACTTGCCATTGGTAGGTTCGAAACCCACGCCCTTACCGTCTTATCCTCCGATCGAGCATGACCTAGATCTCCTATTACATATGCCTACCTAAAGAGCGATATAGCTGAAAAAGATACTTTTTTAACAGACCACGAGGATATTATTATTACTTTTATTAAAAATAGTAGTGCTTAACTAACTAGAATAAGATTCACAGTCACGACAAGGCTAGACACATACTTCCGACAAGCATCCCGCACGCGTCTCCTTGATCTATGGCCAATAACATCATCAATCTAGACTACCTGATGACGTTTTTTTTTTTAATTTAGTTAGCAGTTACGTAGGTAACTGCTAACTAAATTAAAAAAGTAAAAGTAGTAGTACTTTTAAAGAAAAGTAGTAGTACTTTTTAAATAATATCCTACGCTTCTAGTCTTTTTTTCCAAAATATAAACTATCTATGGCTATCCCCGAAGGGGCAGGCAGAGGTGCACATTATGGCACTGTACAATGTAACATCCACTTTTCACTATTTATGTTATGAGTCCCATGTAATAGGTGCCTATTGCCATATTACGCACAGTTCCAGATTCCGTGCTACTATTGAGAATGTTTTTTTAAAAAACCCAGTAGTACTTTGCCCAACCCGGGAATCGAACCCGAGACCTCTTGCCAACGAGACAGTATATATTAGCTCCTAATTATTCTTAAAATAATCGTGTTTTAAGTAACATGATTAATTTTACCTATAAACCATTTTGTTTTGTTCCCTATTCAGTAGAATATTAACATGCTTCCGGCAACGTGTCTGTGTGTCTAACCCTGATCTACTCGATATACGTTCAAGATATTCAATTGTTGATACGTAGATAAGACCTAACTACTGTCGCTATCTTTTAAACCGACTAGACTTAGTTATAGAAATATACCCTTTAAAATAGGACCCATTAGGTAATACCTATCTCAATAAGGATAATGTAAGCTGTGGATAAAATTGGGCTGACCATAATGATGTTTAACATAATCTGAATGAATCCCTACTCCCTGCTGGACGTAGTACCACTACCTACCTAATTCACAAATGCAATTGAAAAAAAACCGTTTAATTTAATATGACTACGATTGAGGCATTCATCAATATCAAAAAAGCATATATTGGTCGAATTGAGAACCTCCTCCTTTTTTGAAGTCGGTTAATTATTATTAACATATATGAATTTAAAATTCTACCGGTAAAAGGAGCCGACCAGTAGCGGGAGCATGGTCCAAGCTACCGATGGTTAGGGCTCCAGAGACAGAAACCTCCTCACGATACGCGCCGTTTCTAGGAGAACTGCCTTCTGTATCAGGCCCTTGATCCATCCACCTAACGCCAGCCTCCTGAGATGGATGTCGAGACTTTTAGGGATTAACCCATTGGCCGACACGACTATCGGTACAATGATAGCCGAATCCACATTCCACATGTCGACAACCTCGTGAGCTAAGTCTAGATATTTTATTTGTGTATCTTTCTTAGCTTTCACGAGGTTCTCGTAATGGGGATTATTATAGAGATGGGTAAAACAAATAAATGCTTACCTAGAGCAGGTTGGCGGCAAATGGCTCCTGTCCATCCCCGCAGCCACTCCAATAATCGCAACAAAAACACACCACATTTTCTTATACATCTTCACTTATCGATAAATAAACTATCGACAATGGCACAACACTACACTATTAAAACTAATATCACTCGGTAAATAAAATAACAGGAACAAAATTGCACTACTTAAAAATTAAATAAATTGTTTTTTTTTTTAGTCTGTGGTCCTTTTAAACTTTTTTTACGTGTTAAGGTACGTGCTTAGAATTTTATACGACTTCCTTCTGAATGGTTGGATGGTCATTTTGGTCGGTATGCTGACGATGTAACTTCAACACTTGGAAGTCGACATGGCAAACCTGAAACAAAAAGGAAAACAACATTAGAATATGTAAGTTATCTTTAAATAAAAAAGTAAAAAAAAAATCGTTGATGGATCTCAACTTGGTGTTTTACACACACTAGCCAATTATTCGACACTAAAATCTAAATAAAAGTGTGTGTGCGACACACTATAGATGAAACAAATCAAGATGAAGTCACAAAAATCCTACATCGCACAATAATAATGTAAAGTTTAAATGCCAATTAACATGGATAAATAATCCCAACAAACAACAGTTGGGCCGAAAGCCCGCCAGCCACGAACACCTCGCCTGGTCGGAAGATCCTACTAAAAGAAATATTATAGTCAAAACATACCCTTAAAAACCGTTAATCTTTCGAAAGTAGACCACAAATACTGGCCATTAATTTAAAAACCACATAAAGAAAGAAACTACAAATTCCAAAGACAAAAATCAACGATGAACAAGACCGTTTCGACCGGCGGATGCAGATTGTCTGACACAAATGTGCTTTGTGTTTCTACTGTCACAATGTATGACGTAGCCAAGCGTGAGTAGTGGCCTGAAGGACCGAACACGTGAGAGCACGTTTTTTATGGAGGGAAAATCATCGAATGACTGCTCCCGCCTGGGTGAGGCCGGAGGGAGTGTCAGACTCTTACTGACTAAAAACCACCCCGTTCCTTCTCCTGCACGTCGAGCCGGAACCTCGACCTAACCCGTTAGGTTCTCCGCGGCTCTGAATCGGTATCAGCCCTGTTGGACCCTATCCGTGGTTGTCTGATGGCTCTTAAGAGCCGACTTTAGGACCACGATTGGAACCTGAATACTGTTCGTATGAACACGTGTGATGCAAAGCAAAATACACGAGGTCGATCATGTGCAATGTGCATACTCCATGAAAAACTACATATGTAGAAGTATTAGTTTCTGTCAGGCGGTTTGGTTTTTTTATGGTATAAGCCGGTAAATTGGTCACCTGATGGTAAGTAATCGGCGTCGCCCATGGCCACCTGTAAAACCTGAAGCGTTACAAGTGCGTTACCGGCCTTTTGGGAATTGCGAATTTGAGGATTGTGGGGGATTCGGGGATTGGCGAGGCTGGAGAGGGGGGGTAATTGGGCCTCCGGTGACCTCACTCACAAGACGGAACACAACGCAAGCGTTGTTTCGCGTCCGTTTTCTGTGAGGCCGTGGTATAACACCGGTCAAGCCGAACCATTCGTGCCAAAATGAAATGGAAGTGAAAACGAACAATAAAATTAAATGAACTTGGAATAGAAGACAAAATCACCTGGATTAATAACTTTGGCTCGCTAAACAATATAACACATTGAAATGAAAGCGACATAAATTAACCTAGTTTCAAAAACAATAATAGTATTTCTGTCCTCATTGTGTAAATAGACGCTGTATCAGCGTTATAAAATGACCTTTGACCGGCCTCGTGGTCTAATCGTCATTTTAGCATCCAGTGCAAACAGTATGCCTTCTACAATAGGCTACATTTGCAAAACAATGGCTACGGCTAATGTAGCCACTGTGTCATGTTTAACAGTCTATAAATAATTTCTGCTGAGCTTTTCATTATATTGACATCAATGTCTATTAAGCATATGTATGTACATGTTTTGATGAAATTTGAAATCAAGTAAATGGAAATTTCTTTATTCGTAAGTTGATCATCTGCCTCGTTGGCCGAGTGGTCGCAAGTGCAACTGCCGGGCAAGGGGTCTCGGGTTCGATTCCCGGGTCAGGCAAAGTATTACTGGGGTTTTAAAAAAAACTCAGTAGTAGCACGGAGTCTAGAATTGTGCCCGGTATATGGCAATAGGCTCACCCCCTATTACATGGGACTCATAACATAAATAGTGAAAAGTGGGTGTTACATTGTCCAATGGCATAATGTGCACCTCTGTGCCTAGGTTTTCGGGGATAAAAGGGGTGATGATATGTTATGTTGATCATCTTGCATCATTCTTTTAGTCACAATTTACAGTGGATCAGAAAAGCATGATGAGTGCTTAGACACTTTTTTTTGAAGGGGGGAAAATCATCGAATGACTGCTCCCGGCTGGGTGAGGCGGGAGGGAGTGTCAGACTCTTACTGACTAAAAACCACCCCGTTCCTTCTCGTGCACGTCGAGCCGGAGCCCCGGTTACCCGTTAGGTTCTCCGCGACTGTGGTTAGACACTAGACTTCCAATTAACCAAGAACGAAGGGAATCAGAAGGTTGTATTAACATTAGCTGGTTACTGTGATGTCGTTGGTTTATTTCCAATTAAGTAACATCTTGGATTCTGGTATAAAGAATGGAGACTTTCTCTTTTTGCAAAACGAATAATTCTATGACGAAGTAGTGCCTGCACGGTTGGTGTAGTGGCTGGACAATTGGCTGACGTTCAACGTATAGCGGGTTTGATTCCCGCACGAATCAACTCTTTGTGTGATATACAAATTGTTATTTCGGGTCTGGATGTTATTTGTATGTGAACTTGTATGTTTGTAAACGCATCTACAACACAGGAGCAACTCCTAGAATGGGGTAACGATTTGAAAAAAATCAAAGTGATTAAGTAAACAAGCACTAACTACTCCAAAAACTATTCATATCATAACATTGAAATCTATCAGAAGACCTTAACACATTAACAGAGGTCACATATTTCAACAGAACACCTGTCAAGGTCACTACCTGACCCCAAGAAGGGTCCTATGGTTCCGACAACACCCGTTAACAATTGTCCAATAAAATAAATTACACTTGACGTCACCAGGCGTCGGATGCAGGAGAAAAGGTAGGATGCATCAACTATGATACGCAATTTGATTCGCTAGATTGATGAGGTCTCGTCTGAGTCCCGTGGGACCGAATTGGGTAGAAATAGAGACTAGAAGTATGGCGAATTGTGTCTTTATTGATACTGGGAGGTATTTTGGAAGTGGTATTGGAAAATAGGAAGATGAAGAGGTCTTATATTGAGTCTAATCTTTATCTGCTTTTTTTTTTAAGGGGGGAAAATCATCGAATGACTGCTCCCGCCTGGGTGAGGCGGCAGGGAGTGTCAGACTTTTACTGACTAAAAACCACCCCGTTCCTTCTCCTGCACGTCGAGCCGGAGCCCCGGTTACCCGTTAGTTTCTCCGCGACATCTTTATCTGCTTATGAGTATTCTGATTTAAATGGCCTTATTCAGACTCCCGGTTCTGTGTTCATCACATTGCATCTGTCTTACACATTTAGTTATAATGCGAATAACAACTTACATAATTTCTTTATAATATTGTATTCTATTGTAAATCAGGGTCGCATTGACCACAAACAGGTCGCATTTCAATAAATCATCCAAGATGCCTATTTATTTACACTTCCTGGTTCGCCATTACTTGTCGTTGCTTGATTTTTTAGTCAAATGCTATCCTAAAATGGTATTGAGAAACAACTGGCCAAATCTTATATAAGGTTTAATTTGAAAATATAATTATGTAATTGTATATCAAATTTCATCTGAGCGTAAATAATGAGATTTCTCGATAATTTTAATCAATTTTGTGGTAAATTTGTAACACCCTTACTTTTAAGTGTGGGAGAGCCATGCTTCGGCACGAATCGGCCGGCTTAACCGGAGTGATGCCACAGCCTCACAGAAAACCGACGTGAAGCAACGCTTGCGTTGTGTTTCGTCGTTTGATTGAGGTTACCGGAAGCCCAATTATCCTCCCCTTCCCCAATCTCCCCAATTCCAGAATCCTCAACGATCCTCAAACTCCTAATTCCCAAAAGGCCAGTAACGCATTTGTAACGCCTCTGGTGTTCCAGGTGTCAATGGGCGACGTCGATTGCTTACCATCAGGTGATACGTCTTTTATTACATAACCGAAATATAAATAATAAATTATATAAACGAACGTTTACCGGCTTATGCCATAAAAAAACCCATTTATTTATTTTTTAAGGATTCTTGTGCATAACTCGTAATTCTGCAATCAAAACTATTATCATGCAGATTCATTGGTCAAGCACATGTGTTTTCCAATTGGCTAGACGTAGAACATAAATAAATAATTCAATGAATTCGATTTTCCTTCCTGTTACACTATAGCAGATGGAGTTTCTTGCTCGTTCTTCTCCATTCGAAACTACTCTTTGGAACGAGCGCCTAGCTTCACTCAATTTTTGATGTTTCAAAAGTGCCTAATTTTTATTGGATAAATATAAATATAAATGAATACAAAACTGTATGCAAAATAACACATTCTTCACCGTTCCTAATTTTCTTGAGTTAATAGAGCTGACTAAGTAACTCCACAACTGGCAGAGACCAGGCTGCAGCTCTCTCTAACAAAGAGGCCTTAGTACGAATTTCGAAACCATAACCGAAGACATAATGACTCTGATTGGTTGGTTCATTGGAGCCGGCCAATCAGAGCGCCGAACACCGTCTCGTTACGATTACTTTAAACGTAAAGTACACTCGTACATACTAAACAGCTATCTTCAACCCTATCTATCAAGCTAGGGGATTGTGGCAAACCCTCTTCTGTAAAGGATACTCATAGTCCAAAACCAGTCTCTGACACAGGCTCATGATGTTGTTGTGCTAAGTAAAAACTAAAATCTTCCAATGTATACGGAACAGAAGAAAGGAAACCGCCATACGTTTATGACCAAATTACCTCTTGTCACAGCAATTGGAAAATTGGCCCACCTTAAGCCAATCCTGGTCAAGTGAACAACATGGAATATTCTCGTCCCTTAAAATGGAGGCAATTTTTGGAGGAACAATTTACTGAAGTGGGTAACAAACAGATACACCACCACTTCTAGGCTAGAAAACGAATCTATTTTAAATAGAACTTCGCTGATGCACGAAATCTATACTCGAAGAGCGCTTCGTGATTTGGAGATGGCAGATTGAAAGGTGCAGATTTGCCTGACAATACTGCGCGGTCTTTATCAATTGACATAAGTGGCGAAAAATTGATTTCAATTAGCTTCTCAAAGAAAAAA